GCGGCTCTATAATGCACCACCTTCATCCCAACTGATGCCCTTCCTCCTGCATGCCAGAAAGGATCACAGCACGGCCAATATTAGCCCAGGTGTTAGGCTACAGCGTAGGGATCATTCCTGTTAATAGCGATCTGCGAGTTTTGTGCAAAAACGCGTGATCGCACCGGAGAGCCTGGTGCGTTCCAGCCTGGGTTCGTAATTCTGCAAGTTCGCTGAGGTACAGAAATGGCTGGTTAATGAAGGCACCCATTACCCTGAATACGTTTTTCAACAGTGCAGATTCTAGTTTTTAAGTGGTGTCAAATTTGCATTCTTTTCCGTATTTGTTTAATTTATTCAAATGCCGGGCATATTATTTAAAAATTCTAATTTATTTAAAAATAAAGATCATTAAGAAATATTCCCAAATACGAATTTATGTGTTTCTTTTTTTTGTAGGCGCTTGCCTAATCGCTGTCCTCAAAAAATCCCAATCTACATCAAATTAACAACTGTTATTACTGGTCCGACCAGACTGATATGTTGCTCTGTGCTATAAGTGCCATGTTGGGCTTCATCATCATGAGATTCACTTTTTCGGGCGTATTTGAGGTCAAAATGAGAAGTTCAAGAAAGCAGCTTCATCTAGTTCATTGTGCCATGTCTTTTTTTACTCTCGTTCAAATATTTTGCAGCCTGATGCACTGGGATATTTGAACGTGGCTCTAAGTTATAATCGGCCAACATCTTCACTTGTGGTAACAATACTGTCGGCCAGAGGCCTTTCTCACCGCCAATATTACAACACTGTATTCTTTCCTAATCCATTCGTCAAAGTATACCTGCTACCGGGTAGAAAGTAAGTAGTTGACATTTAAAAATTCACACAATCGGTTATCCAAAATCTGAAATGATAGCTAATTTGTCATTGCAATTCGCTTCTAATCAAAGAAAATGACGACCTTTCTTATTTTTTCGCAGTAATTTTGTCTCAGTCCGCCTAAAATCGCCTTTATTCAGTCAGATTAATAATATAAATACATTAACGTAAATTTGGTATGCCTAACAGGGTAGAAAAACGGTCGTCGTAAACAAACATACACGAGAAGAAAAAGACATTAAAACACCTCATAAACAAAGACAAACGGGCTTCAGAGTCACAGCCCTTATTTTGTAAAAAGAAAACATAAACAGAACCGTGCATTAAATAAGGCTTTTTTGACGTTAGCACTTGTTTCAAGAGCCAATTAAACAAAGTAATTTCTCCAGTTGCAGCTTCGGTTTACTTGTGAATTTTAACCTACTTTCTTGGTTTCGGATAATTCAATCCGGCTTAACAAAGACACAAATATACGTGTCTTATCTCATAATGCTTCGCACATGCAAAAAAGCATAAAAATGTAAAAAACTGAGTCAAAACTAGGACGGTTCCAAAATTACACTTGTCTGACGTATAATTTGATCAAACCGGATGCGAAATAATTTTCAGAGGGGTACAAAATGTCGTAAAAGTTTGCTAAAGAGCGGTAAAATTGAACGTCGCTAGCCTTAGCGACAGCCGGTGGACGTCTGCCGTTAACGAGCGGTACTCATGAGAAAGCAAACGATTACTTGAGCGACCCCGAAAAGATGGCACACATAAATCGAACAGGTGACGGGTACTAACTGGAGGTATGGAGCCCAAAATCAAAGGGCCTAGCATAGCTGCGCATAGCGTGTGGAAGCATCCCAGTAGCATCACTAACATGGTACACCCCCACACTGATAGACTGGGCGGTTTTGGTCCTTGTCATTTAAACATTTTTGCTATATTTGGTGACTCTTCCACTCACGTTTTCGTACTTTTCCTTCCTCTCAAACAATTTTGGTAGCCTACTATTGCAAAAAGGAAGGGTTAATTCCCCTCCATAGCACATGTTACACAGTTTCTCTGTTTTATATAATTATGCATTTTCTAGAGTTTCAAGTAAGCGTCGAACTAAGTTTATGCCGAATACCTCGGATCCGGTCTGGAATCAAACGGTAGAATACACGGTGCCTTTATGTGAACTATACAGTCATTATCTGGAATTCACTGTTTGGGATTACAATAAATTCAGTGAAAACAACTCACTTGGACAAGTTGTTATCAATCTCTCCGGTAATTTGTACTTATTTTCAGTTCCTGTTTCTGCACTGACGTTTGTTCATGTTACTCTCTGCTTTTTTATACATTTTTAAAGATTCGAATATGGAAATTAGCCGTTGGGCGAGTTGGATCAGAAATTTCGATTAAGTCAACAGCTGCTTCCTTACATGTAATTTTGGCAGCAGTTCAGGCAGATTGGAGCAACGTCTGAAAAAACAATTCAAGCTCCTTGAAAAAATACATTTTTTACATAACTGTTCTTCTGGATTATGCAGTTAAACGCAGCTTATTGTAGAACCGCACATTCTGGATGGTACAGCTCGATGGTACCAGCTGCAAGCAATTCACAACAATTTCGTCAGCTTGCCTGGTCCGCAGTTTCAGTCAACGATTTCTTCTGAAACTGATTATGCAGTACCTCGTTACAATCCGCGTGCGTAATTTCTAAACTACAAACTCAAATTGACTCAGATCGTGTTTGTTTAGCTGCTTTGTTTACCATATATTTTTCATGTGATCTCCTACCGCCCAAGTTTTTCGCAACCGGCTTCGATAAATTATTTTTTGGAAAGGTAGTGTGGAAATCAGTGGCGAGAAGCTAACCCACTTACGCTTTGCGACGACAGTATTACTTATCTTGAGCAGCCCCGACAAAATTAGTGTTATGCTTAGTGCACGAAGTAGGAAAGAGAAAACTAATGCAGCGAAAACGAAGGTAATACAAAATGCCAGTATGTCCTTCACCAGAATGCATGTATTCCAGTGCTGACTTGAAATAAGCTGATAAGCACAGTTATCTTGACCAGGAAGCAAATGTAGCCACAATTTACAGCCGGAGGCCGAGCGTAGAATAGCTACAGATTGGAACTAATTTCCTAGCAACGTCGATGTTCTTAAAGTGCCGAGCCGGAACGACTACCTCCTCCCACCTTCTCTTCGCCCTCCCCTCCTCTCCCTGCTCCCACTCCCCTTCCTCCCTCCGCCCCCTCCTTTGCAATAAAGGTAGTGGTGCATTGTTGCGAAAAGTAGTCATTGGAAAATGTTGAAGAACAAGTGCTGACTGTGATGGAGAAAAGGATGTAGCGGGGGATGCTCGGCATATCTCTTCGTGACCAACATTTAGACTCTTTGTCAAAGAAGCGACATGCCATGGTATCAGTATGATCACGCAAGAAAGTTAAATCCGGTGGGTAGCGCCTATTACTTCCTTTAACCAACAACTGTTGGACGTCAGTTTTGGTGAGCGGCACCGGCGTGGAATTTAATGACCGCTGTGGCAGGCCCAGAAGAAGTGGCACACATACATCGGGCAGGCAGCAGTTATTTGTTACTAACCGTGAGTACGCAGCGCAGGATTAAGAAGGCTCGAGTAGCTGCATTTGAAGTTTGGGACTTGAAAAGCGATAGGTTTTTTACTCGCACTGTTATTGCAAAAGAAATAAGTTCTATTCGGACTTCTCGGTCTTTTCGATGTTGTTGAGATTGAGATGAGTCGAACGCAACTGCCACTGATTTCATTTAGTTTTCTGCATTCCTGGATGCGTTTCTATATTGCTTATGTTTCTACTAAATGAATGGAAACTTTTTGCAATGGACATCTGAAAAAAATGCCAATAATTTTAGTGTCACTGGATATTGGCTACCCAGCGATCTGCTGATAGACATGGTTTGCAATAATCGACAATGATTACATCAACCATACTTTTAATGGTCATAGTTCTGCGCAGCTTCGCTGAATTGCTGTCGACTCTCAAGTATTTGCTTTTAATTCTGAAATAATTTGCGACCTGGACAAAACAGACTGCACGAACAGTATCAAAAATGGAAACACAAGTACAGAATTTTTAAAGCATCGACGTTTCGCAATGAGGTATTCAGTTCTGCGAGGATGAAAGAGAGGAGATGCGAGTTTCCGTTGCTCATCTTTCTCTGCATCCTGTACTACAACTATGACGTGAAACGTCATAAGAAAAAACGATGCTGTAGAATTCTAATGCTGGGCTGGAAATTTTGTACACAAATACTTTAATATAAAAATACCCATTGTGCATTACAAAAACAGTTGTTTTTTGGATAACAGCTACTACTAGCAAGTGATCACGCTCTGAATACTGATTCTTTGTGCGTTTTTTGCATCTATACAATGCAATCAAGGGTTTGTCTGTGTATGTTTATGCGTAATGACCGTCTGAGTTTTTCAAAATCGAGATCTGCGAAAGCTGAAACCCTAGGCTTAAAATGAACGCTCATTTCTCTTAAATTCTCATGTTTGAGCACGTGAAAGATTTTTTGGAGAGAAAGCAATTTCAAAAGCCAGACAGGCTAGAAGGCTAAAACTTTACAAAGGTTTCCCTTGCCGGTTTGCAACCCCAATGGACTTAAATTCAGTCTTTACGCACCCCTGGACCTCACGTACGTCAGAGTTTAAAATGGCACTATGACAACGTGAGAACTAGGCTGATTAAGAAGCTGGCTTCTTTTTACAATTATGTGCTCGTGAAAATGAAGTTTTCGCAAAGGGGCGAAAAGTTGTGACTCACAAAGTGACTCACAAGTTGTGACTCACAAGAGTTGTGACTCACAAAGGGGCGCGTGAAATTTGGCACAAAGGATTTTGCAACTCTAGAAGTAAAGCAGCTGAAATTTTTTGGGCGTAGCAGACAGACGTGTTTGGGCAGGTGCGCGTGAAAAGAACTTTCACGTCTTACTTGCGTCTCACATATTGACACGTACATTTTGACATAACCTCCGCACTAAAGCAGCTGAAGTACTAGAATTTTCTAAACGTGACCTACAAACATTTTCGAGGAGGCACACGTGAAAACATTTCCAACATTTTTTCGCGGGCGGATACGGAGAATTTAACGTAACCCCCTAACCGTAAGAGCAGCTGTACTGCTGAGATTCTTCGGGCATGGCCAGCGATAGTATTTATTGGTAATCTGTTTGATAATCTGTTACAGTGTGAGAGATTACTCTTCATTCATTTAGCTAAAAGCAATTATCGGAAGAACAGTGCTCCGCTAATAAAACATCTGTGAGAAAAATTGCTCAAAAAAACGCACATTTGCACCGGCAAGCCTGGTGCATCGCTACCCAGATCTATTTTTATTGTATGGTCCCTGGTTTTGACCTCACAAAGTATTTATGTAAGATACAAAGGAGTTTCAAAAGAGTCATGAAATTTTGGTTAACAGACAATTTTATACTGAATGTCTAGTGTTTACCTACCGAAGAGGTTTTGATTGTTATACGTGTTTAATTTGAGGCATAACAGGAAAGACGGCTGAACCACGCTGATTTTTTCTATGAATACGCTGGACATTTTTCAATTTCCGCACTGTTCTTCCATCAACTAATTACTGTCTTGTCTTTGAGTAGCTGGTATTACACCACAACGAGTCACTACTTTGGTGTAATCCCTACTTAGGACCGTTCCTCTTACCATCTCTTATTCTGTGTGCGTTCTTGGACATTGTTCATCTGTACAATTCTTTAGCAATAACCAATCATTTTTTCATGAAAGTGGTCAAGTTTCATGTGAACAATACTTCAATCGGATTTTATAAAATTAATTTTATTAAATATTTGACATAACTAAAAGAAATTTTCACCCTGGCTAACTTGAAGTTGGGGATCGAGATTGAGCCGATCACGTTTTTCTGACGGGGCAGCGGTAGTGTCGCATTTAAAAATTATTTGTGTTCGGAAGATTTAAGACGATGAAACATACTAAACTTTTGCATTTCTTAACATGCTGCAAATAAAGTTGATTTTATCTTGCATTCCTGTTACTTTAGTTATTTCCTCGGTGTGCAGTTTTTAGTGTTTTTCTAGAACGAGAAAAATTTCATTTATTTACCAGTTGTTCACTTACATACATAAATAAAGATTTTGCGAGAGACATGTACCTGCTCCTCATTGTGCTTCACAAAAGTCAATTTTGATGGGCTAAAGCGGATCCCGTTTAGCACAAGAGTACTCAGCGTTTAAGTGCGCATAGTATGCGAGGTGCGGTTTGACAAGATCACAAAGAAAACTCATATAGTGAGAACTTGATTTTCTGGCATTTCCATGACTGGATCTTTCCCCATACGCGCCTAAACCCCGCGTACGGGAATCCCAAAGAAATATGTTGGCTGGAAACGATTTCGAGAACCAGGCAACGCAGAAGGTTGAAACTTTGCAGGGATATTCTCCAGGCAAGTGCAAGGTAAAAGTTCTAAACTCAGCCCTCTAGCTCCCCAACCACAACATCAGGCAGCTCTTGAACCCAAAAATCGTTAGCAACTCGGACCCGAATCGCAATTGTATGTGCAAATAAACATGCATTTTTAGCAACTCGTGCCTGAACCGCAATTGTATATGCAAATGAACATGGATTTTTTGAAAAACGACCGTTCGAGCAATAC